GGCCACGCGCCTACCATGCCCGCCAAGTGTTCGGCAATTTGTCTGCTCAGCGATGGACTCAGACGATGAGGAGGCGCTCGCGGCGCTGCTAGAGGAGGAAGCCGATGCCGATGCCGACGCCAGGACGAAGAGCATCTCATGGTCATCGCCGCCCTGGCCAGCTTGCTCGCGAGCAATGGAAAGCCGCGGCGAGGTGGCTCGGCGCCTGGCCGGCTGAAGGCGAAGCAGAGGCATCAACTGGAAGGCTATTGCTTGCTCTACTTCGACTACTTCGCCGACGCTCCACTGCATGGCGACAAAGTATTTCAGCGCCGTTATCGGATGAGCCGAAAGCTCTTCCTCAGGATTGTGAATTCCATCCGGGAGTTCGACAGCTACTTCAAGTGCAAGAAGGATTGCACCGGCACACTTGGATTCACCTCACTCCAGAAGTGCACGACAACTATGAGGATGCTTGCATACGGAGCTACCGGTGATTCACTCGAAGACTATGAGCGCATGGCCGAGTCCACGACCATTGAGTGTTTCTACAAGTTCTGCAGGGCAGTGGTGGCAGTGTTTGGACCGCAATACTTGCGATCACCCAATGTTGAAGACACTGCTCGGATCCTAGCACAGAATGCAGCAAGAGGATTTCCTGGGATGCTTGAAAGCATCGACTGCATGCATTGGAAATGGAAAAAAACTGTCCATTTGCTTGGCAGGGGATGTACAAAGGCGCCAAAGGTGGTTGCAGTGTGGTATTTGAGGCAGTGGCCACACACGACCTCTGGATTTGGCACTCCTTTGGTATGCTAGGAACTCACAATGACATCAACGTACTGCAGTGCTCCCCTGTCTTTGCCAAGCTTGTTGAAGGTCATTCTCCTCCGGTGAACTTCGAGGTCAGTGGGCGGCACTACAACAAGGGATACTACCTAGCAGATGGCATCTATCCAAGATGGTCCACATTTGTGAAGACTATCTCAAACCCTGTACCAGGAGGCAAGAACTCCCACTTTGCGAAGGTTCAGGAGGCTTGCAGGAAGGATGTCGAGTGAGCATTTGGTGTGCTCCAATCTCGATTTGTTGTTGTCGGTACCCCGCTCAGACCTGGTCGAAAGATCAAATGTGGGAGATCATGACTTGCTGTGTCATCTTGCACAACATGATCATTGAGAGCGAGCAGGAAGAGCCAGTGTTTGACACTGAACCATATTACAGGCAGGGTCCTCTTGCCCAAGTTGATCACCACCTACCGGCAACCTGGACGGCCTTCCTCAATATGCGTCAGGAGATCCGTGACCCACTGGTGCATCAACAACTGCAGCAGGATCTGGTGGAGCACCTATGGAGGCTCAAGGGCAACGCCTAGCTCGACGTGTGATTAAATATGAGTTTTTATTTGTTGAACTATATAATTTGCATTGAACTATTTGATTTCTATTGATTTTCTGTGATGAACTATGTGATAAAAAATAGCTTCGGTTGAATTTGCGCCGAAGTTCGGCGAATATGGGCCGACATTGGCCAATTTTGCGCCGAAAATGGGCTGAAAAGTGGGCAAATTTGCGCCAGAAGTGGGCCGAAATCGGCGCCTGGGGGCGGCGGCTGGGAACCCGATCGCCCCCACGCCGGTTCGCCCCTAGGCGGTGATATTTTAAGCCCCCTGGGGGGGGGGGCAACGACTGGAGATGCTCTTAATGGATCTCAATTTTTCATGGTACAAACAAGTTATTATATGATCCAGCAATTTCATGTTTTATTATTCATGTTTGAGTCGCATGCTTGGGTCTATAAATTCTCTTGGTTGCCCCTTTATGCTTATTGAAGTTCAGTTTGTTTCTTTTTTTGCAGATGGTTCAGGCTTCACTTGTTAAAGACGTAGGCTATGATCTTGCTGTTGATATCTGGAGTCTTGGTTGCACCATTATTGAGATGTTCAATGGAAAACCTCCTTGGAGCCATCTTGAAGGGGTAATAACTTGGAGCCTTTTGATTTACAGTAAGCTTATCAGCATGCACTTCGTGACTCTAGTATGCGTAGCATGGAGAAAATAATATAAAATGAAGTGCTTATGCTAACCGGATCATTTGTTTGGGTAGACATGAGGACCATCAGCATCAGCACTGTCATTCTAATCCTGAGCTCAGATGCTCCTGCCATGAACAGTAAAATCCCCAAATATAGTCAACAAATTAAAAAATTCTATTTTTTTTGGCAACAAACATGCTTAGTTTTCTACCTACGTGCAAATTTTGATGATGGAATGACATCCGTGGTGGTCTGGGAAAAAAGAACAAATTCCATGCTCCAACCCCCTCCTCCCCTTCTCCCCTCCCCCGCCGTCGCCTGCGAGCTCGGCCAGGCGAAGCACGGCAGGCTCCGGCGGTGGGGGGCGTCTTCCCCTCTTCGTGTGGTCGCGTGTGGCGCGGGACGGCGTGGCCGGCGGAGGCGCGGCGCGAGCAGGGGGCGTGACGGCGTGGCATCCGGGCACGGGGCAGTGACAACCTGGCCAGGTGCTCGTGCGGGTGGCTCTGCGGCGGCGGAGGTGGCTGCGGTGTTGCTGGCGGCTGCGTTTGGGCGTGCCCAGATCTGGCGACGGCTGCGCCGCGAGTGGCGCGGGCTCAACGACAGCCTGGGTGGCTCGGCGTGTGCGGGAGCTCGGCGAGCGGTGGCTCGGGTTGCCGTTGCACCTCGCTGTCCGGCTGTGTGGATGCTGGTGGTGGATGGCGGCCGCTGGTGAGGTCTTGTCCAGCCACGGCTTCGGTCCGAGTGCGGCTCCAATCCAGCCCCTGCTGAGCTTGCACATGTCGCGGCATAGGGCTGGACCTTTCCCAACGATGGCCACCGTTGAGATACGGATCTGAGGCCGGGAGGGCCATGGAACCATCCTTGCCTCCTGTCAAGTGGCGCACCGGGGAGCTCGTCCTTGCACGGCCTGGCAGGACGGGGCGGTGGCGGCCAAGGCGGCCGGCCCCGGGGGTGGGCCTCGGACCTGGGGGGCCGTCCAGGGGCAGGGAAGGAGGTGCCTTCCCGCCCGTCTCTTTGCCAGTCATGGCTGCAAGCTTCAGTTGGGGATGGTGTTGGGGCCATGGGTGTCGGGGCAGCGGTCTTGGAGGTGGGAGGCATGGGCTCATGGGCAGAGCTCACGGCTCGGGTGTGAGCTGGCTGCCATGTGCGGGCGGTGTGGTGGTCAGGGTGCGACAACCGGAGGGGTGGGTGCGGTGGACCTGGCTTGCTGTGCCTCGCCTCGGTGGCTTTGAGGACCTCTCGGGGTGAAAACCTGCTTTGGCTCTGCCAAGCCGACAGCAACGTCGCCTATGGGTGTCGCCTCCTTGAAGGCGTCATCGCGGCTCCGCTACATGCTCCGATTGCTCCGAGGGAAACCTTGATCGCAGGATCGGGCGGTGGAGATACTCCTGTGTCGTGCCCTTCTTGAAGGCACCACCTTGGAGTTTTTAGCTTGTCGTGCACAGCTTTCTCTCTTCACGGTGACTCGCTCACGGTTGAGGTCTCCGGAGACTCCAAGTGGTGCTCTCTCTGCCTACATGTAGTTGCTTGGAGTGGATGGGGTGATCTGGCTGTTCTTATACACCCTTGTATTTTGTCTTGAGTGTGTGTGTTGTGGGGGTGAGTTGTATGTGTTGGTTTGTATGGTGATCGTTCCTTTATACATAAAGTGGGGCGTGAGCCTTTTTCGGTAAATGCTTTTAAAAACAGCCTTTTTGGAGCATTGATTTTTTCCCAGAGCATTACAAATATTTTTTATTCATGAAACTTTGCACGCAGGTGAAACACTCGACAGTGTTTGTCAACCCAAAATTTTTGTTTTTTTTACTCTTTTGCTATTTATTGTTTTGCCAAAAATCCATGTCGCACTAAAACACAATATTTTACTAGGAAGTTTACGCTATATATGCTGTAAGATTATCATCGTGCGGATAAATGTCTCTGATTTTAAAAGAAATGTGTAATTTTCTACACTAGACTGAATATTCAAAACATGAAGTTTTTGTTCTCATAATCTCTTGTCAGAGTTTTCTTTCGCATAATCTCTTGTCAGATGGAATATAAATATAGTGCTAGAGGGCCTAATAATAAGCTATAGTAGTGTTAATTTTATTAATGAATTGTCAGGGGAAGTCTAATATGCTCCTATGTCCATATACACATAAATAGGTGTGGAAGGTAACCAAAAGCGTTGTCACGAGTTATTGATCATTAGAAACTTGTAGTCTGGGTATCAACACCATAAAGTTGTACCAACACACAAAAGCTACTTCTAAGAAACCTTTTTTCTACTACAGGCTGCTGCAGTGTTTACGATTTTGCATAAGAACCCACCGCTTCCTGACAATTTATCACACGAGGCAAAGGATTTTCTGGAATGCTGTTTCAAGAGGAATCCAGCAGTGAGGCCAAGCGCAAGCGAGTTGTTGAACCATCCGTTTATCAGGAATTCAAGTCATTACAGCAAGCATGTTAAAGAAGTCATTATTACAGGCTGTGAGGAAGTCGTTCGAGCAAGCTGTGACCCATCCTTAACAGGGAAAACTGCAACTGGGTGAGCAGCTTGGTTTCATTCATTGTTAAGTCAAGTAGAGTGGTTCAATTATTCAATTTTCTTTTGCTGATCCTAATATACCTTCGTCTTTTATTGCCAGTGGAGGAAATGATGCCAGGTCTTCCGAATCATTAGTTTCACAATTAACTCTGCAACCAGTCCAGGTAGCCACACCTTATTTCCCCCTAGAAATTCAGGTGTTGCCTCCAATCCCTGTTCTTAAGCATGCCAGCATTGGGATCTACACTCTGCATTCTAGGATGGTTCCATTGTAACATTTCAGTAGGATTTCGGTAGACGTCAAATTTCATAGAAATCCTCTCGAGTCATCAACAAAATGTACGGACCAATAACAGCCAGAGTCCCAGACCACAAAATATAGTTGTTCAATGCATAGAGAAAGCGGTACAACAGAAGATATCTATAATTTTTTGCAAATCCTCGGTTATTGTGCTACCAATAACCCATATTCAAAGAATATTTACAACTGAACTTATGGTTTCACTTCTAAATATTATCTCCGGAATTTCTAAGTGTCTGAAGATTGGGTGTGAACTCTCCACAGTCCAGACAGAGAGAACTTGAGTAAGTCCTGAACCAAAGAACCCCATATTGTTTTCAAAATACCTAACAATAACTCACTCTGTTGCTTTTTAGCATGTCGAACGCCACCTAAAGGCTAAAACCCGTGGACATATATTGTTTGCAAAAAATAGGCATATAAGAGGCCTTGAATCTACTACATAGCTGACATTATATGGCTCTGCAGCATGGTAGAAAGTTCTGAATCTGCAGATTGCAAGCCCTCTACTTATTTGTTTCAGTAGTCTGGCGTTGGGGTAACACCACTTAACGATATTCTGGTTTCTGCAGCAGAATATTTATCCAAGTGCGATCTCTCATCCCAAATCCATTGTTAGTTGGGCCCCACAAACTATTTTGTAACAATTCTGTCTGACACATCATCAGGTACCCCCACCATAAGGACACCTCATCTGAGGGCCTCTTCCACTCGTCTGCTTGGTAGATCAATCGCTTGCCTCAACGCCTCCGCATTGCTCCGCTCGAATCCTCGAGCGACAATGCCGCCTGCCCTCTTTCCCCATCCTAACCTTGGTCTGCCAGTCTCCTCCGATCCCATTCCGTCCCAGCGAAGCAAAAAAGTTAAAAGGCACAACGCCATTTGGTACGAGATCGAGCAAGCGTGGCTGAGGGAGCGGCCGGAGCACTAGGGTACGGTGGTTAAAGGAGGGACAAGATAGAGGTAGAAGAGATGAGGTGACAGAGTAGGACGAGAGGCACGGCAGTGACATGAGCTAAGGAAAAGCTGTAGCTTTCCCTCATCTACAGCAAAGGCGGCAGCGAGGTGGCTCAAAAAGGGGAAGGAGGTAGCCCCAGAGGGGTGTGCTCAGCGGAAGGGGCAGCATTAAGTATGGCGAGTTCTTCGTGTTGTCATCACGTTTGGCCACACGACCGGCTTCCAGCTCTCTGACCAAGGCTGCTGGCACCACGCGCCCCATCATACCATGATTTTTTTTTAACTGAGCTACCATGTGATCCTCTTCAAATGTATGTAGAGGGACATGATGAGGGCGTTGGGGGTACCGGTAATCAGCCGTTTGCTCACCTCCACCGGCGGAGCTACGCGAGGGCAAAAACAGGCCGTCGCCCGCTCAGCCGTTTGCTCACCTCCACACTGCATCGCAGACATACAGCACTGGGTCGCTCGTGTCCTCGCATGCAACACTGAATTTCCTTCACTTCCAGCTCTGGTCTGGATTTCCAGAGATGGTTGGCGCCGATGGCACTGTTGTATTCATGGTTTAAAAGGCGGTAAAGCGACCTAAAGTGAGCACCACCCGCTCTGACACTTAAGCGACACCTAAGCGCCTAAAGCAGGCATATTTCTAAGGCGCTGCCAGGGCGCCTTATCGCTTAAGCGTCTGAAGCAGGACACTTCATAAAAAATGGTTGTATTTTGTCAATTGCTCTTTTCGTTGCTTCGGTTTTTTTTCTTCTTCCTCCGCCTAGGCATCGCTTTGGTCTTGTATGAGTTTGCTCTTTGTCGGCGTGATCGTTTGTGTGTTGTGTTGGCTGTGTGCATCCTAGTTATGCAGAGACCGGGTGTGTACTCATGATGATTGTATCGCTTGATGCTACACTGAGTCAATAAAATACACCCTTTATCGAAAAGCACTGGTCTGTCAGGTAGGCTAGTAGCTAGCTAGCCAGCCCCGAACAAGCCCACTTCGACATGCAGCTGGAGGACTGTGTCATCTGCTAAATATCACGAATTATTACCCTAGCAACCAGCATTGCACAGGCAATATAACCAACTAATGCCTGCTGAATTAGTATGGTTCAGATTTTTTTTGTGTGTGTGTTTGTGTTCTCCTCTAGGAAGGCCCGCCCAGTTTTTTCTTCCTAGCTCTGCCATGTCACCTCGTCTGGATGGGTTGTCCCCTTCCAGGTCTTATTGGTGTCAACTGCTGGGGTGTAGCAAGTCAGCAGCAATCTTGACCTCGACGGCAGCCATGCAGCTGACCCTGGCAGAGGAGTTTGCCATTCCGAGCGTTCTCCACCTATGCGAGAACCCTGCAATCTTTCACATCTGTTAGAATGGAGCAAGGCAGTCAAGCACGTATAGCTTCACAATAACTTATTACACTTATTCTCGTTGGTGAAAATAGCAATAATTTAATTGTATTTCATAGAGTTTTGGGAGTATCATCGCTAAGGCCAGTTCCGAGTTTGTTAAAATGAGTCCTCTGTATGTACTCTTTTCTTACAGTGGGAAAAACATTTTGGTGGTGTATTGTAGTTTGAGGGTTAGCTTTAAGGAACTGCCTCCAGTTACTAGATTTCTACCAGAATTTATCTTGTTTGAACTTTGCTGGCTAGAGCTTTGCTGATGTTGAACGTGGCAATAGTCGTTGTATCTATATACCTTGGTGATAGTATTCTTAGATGCATTTGCTTCTACACACTGCAGGAAATTGAGAGTGAGGATGAGGAGCATGATGATGAGGCTGAGGATGAATCTGAACATGAAGTGGAAGCTGCGGATCCTGATGTCGCTGCAGCGGCACCTAAAGAGACAGAAAGGCAGCTGTCTAAAAAGGAGTTGAAAAAGAAGGAACTGGCTGAAATTGATTATGTGTTAGCTGAGTTGGGGATTTCTGAAAATGAGGCTGATGCTGAACAAGATGGTAAATGCTCCATTTTTAGTTTTTTTTTCCTTTTCATTCATATTTCTCTTTTGTAACCCTATGAAGGGCTAGTAAAGCTGATTACCTGTATGTGGTTTCATCGCTTTTATAAACTTTGTTCTTGCATGATAATCATTGTTGCAGCTGAGAAGGTGCGAATCAAACCGGTGATGGAGAGAGAAAGGAAGACGCGCCTGCCCCTTCAGGGAGTAAGAATGCCAAGAAGAAGAAAAACAAGGACAAGAACACAAAGGAGGCAAAGGAAGCTAAAGTGTCGGAGGAGGCTGCCAGTGCAGAGCCCGAGGAAGACACAGCCGTGGGTGTCAAGGAGCGCCTAAAGAAGATGGTCTTCATGAAGAAGAAGTCGGGCGGACACAGCTGCAAAGATGACCGCCGCAGAGTTGGCAGCTAGGAGGACCGCCAGGCTCACTGCGGCAAAGAAGCCCGACAGACAGCCAGACAGGGCCTGCAGCCAGAGGGAGAAGCCCGATGGGAATTGGATCCCCAAGAGAAGGAGCACCATCAAAGCGATCATCACGGCCATGATTGGCATACACACCAAGAAGAGCCCCAGCACCGCCACAAGTTCTGGCGGCAGGGGCGACAGCGATGGTTCCTAATGATCGAGCATGAGTGCACACGTACATCGGACATTGATAGTTTGTGATTATGCTGGACTGCTGAAATATTGCATTTCATATTAAGGAGAGGGAATACGGACCAGCCTAGTCGGCAAAGGAAAGAAAAACAATTACCAAGAGGACTACTATAGAAACAGCAACAGCGAAAACAAGACACAGGCCAAGACCTAAGAGCCATGAGATCAGAAGCTCCAGCTGCGCCCCAGCAGTGAAAACTTTACTTGCATCTTTCTATCAAGGCCTTTTTTTGGTCTAAAAGGGAGAGATTCTCTCCAGCAAGCCACTATTCCCCCAAGGATTGGTTGACGGAAGGAGCGATTCTGCTCTACAATTTTGTTTCAGAATTACTGATGATGCATGCTACCAGTGTTTTCATATGTAGCTTTGCTTGCCTGCCTGCTGGGTGCTACAGTAGATGCTTCAGTCATTCCTGACATATGCTTGATCAGATTTCTCAACCATTGCTGGATTGCCTGTCATATCTCGATGGGATGTCTCGACTATCTTAAAAATTGAAGAGGTTTACTCTCTTTTTTGCCACTAAAGGTATTGCTGACATCACTATTATCATACTGCAACTGAAATATTACACCTATTCTTTGGATGTTATTCGTAATTTGAGTTTTTTCTTGGGTTTTGAATGCCCTCTATCAGCGTCATCTAAGGCCAACTCCACCGCACAACCCCAAACGGACGTCCACTTTGTCCGGATTTTGTCCGTTTGGGGGTGCCAATGGGTCGTGTCCGCCCGGATTTGGATTTCCGTCAGCCGGGCGCCCAGCGCAGCATACCCATCCCAAATATTGTCCGGCTCGGTCATTTCTTCAAACACATAAAAGACAGCCGGCGTCGCCCTCCCAAGCGGCTGGCTAGCTAGCCAGCACGCGCAGCGGCTCGCTAGTTTAGCCCGCACGCGATACGCGCACCGGCTCGCTAGCTAGCAAGCCCGCTGGCATGCACGCACGCTCGCATGCCTGAAGCTAGCTAGCTAGCCCGCAGGCGCGCACCGCATGCTCTCGTCGCCACGACCGCCTGCTCTGTCGCACGACGCGCGTGCCCGCCCCCGCGACCTCGCCATGCCCGTTTACCGCGCTCGCAGCAGGGCCGCACCGCGCCTCGCCCGCCCCCGCGACCTTGCCTCGCCGCGCTCGCAGCCGCACCGCGCCCCTTGCTCCGTGCTGCTGCTGCCGCAGCCGAGCTCTCCGCGGCCTGCCCGCCCTGTCGTACTCGCCGCTCCCCGCCACCCGCCCCGCCGCACTTGCCGCTCCCCGCCGCGCCTTGCGTATGCGCGCCGGCCTTGCTTGGTTGGTGGGACGGTGGGTGAAAAGGAGGAGAGAGAGATGGGTGGGTGGGTGGTGGGTCCCTTTTTGTTTCGATGACATATGGGGCTATCATCTGCATGCGTGGACACAGCTGGACGCACGG